TAGGAACCTAGGTGCACAGCATAACTAACCGCCTGAGCTCTGACCTCCCACCTCTGTGCTACCTACTCATTGCCCTCCCCCATTTGTGAAAAAAATTGTCTTTCATGAAACTGAGTTTTGGTGCCAAGAAGGTTTCAGTCCATGGCCTGTTGGGGGCCCCGCCGCACAGCAGGAGGTGAGTGCCAGTGAGAAGCAAAGCTTCATCTGTGTGTACAGCTGCTCCCCATTGTTCGCACCTCAGCCTGAGTTATACCTCCCGTCCCATCCCCCCTTTTCCCCTAGTCTGTGAAAAAATAATCTTCCATGAAACCAATCCCTGGTGCCAAAAAGTTTAGGGACAGCTGCTGTAGGATGCTTATAAGATCCTGCGTTTCCGTAGCTGTTGTGTATTAACTCAACTGGAAAGAAGTTAAACTGCGTGAGTTGGCCAATACGGCAACATTTGAGAAATCTATTCTTTCTGCTGACCCTGTGTGAGGATCTCCTGTTTGTGAGAGAACAGTGTATTTGTGCCTTCCTGCTGCAGAAACCACTGAAGAGCAGCAGCCATGGCTCTGTGCTGACTCACGGCTGGGGCCTCCACCAGGGATTCAGGTGAGCAAGACCATGGGAAACGCCAAGCACAGACACCAGAGCTGTTGCTGTCGCCATCTCACTAAATACGTCAAGTTCACATGGGTCATGATTTGAAGGTGTGCGGCTTTGGCCTGCACAAGTAATGCACTACAGGGCTGCTCAAGTTCTCCAAGGACAAGGGCGGGTGGGGATGCACATCCATTCCAAGGTAGTGAGAGGAGCTGAGCAACAAACGTCTCAGGCACCATGACAAAAATGGCTGCCAAGAAGGACTAAACCTGCTCTTCCCTCTCTACATAATAAAACCTTTATAGAAAAAAAAAAAAAAAAAGAAACAACCACATTTGAACCTGAATATTTGTTCTATATACACAAAGACCATCTGTGCTTTAAAGGTATGGGAAACATAAAGAAGTGCTACTTTGTACCAGGACCTATGCTAGGCACATTCACAAACATTTTGTTTCATTATAACCTAAATCACTACCCTCATTTATAGATGAAGAAATAGAGGTTCAGAGAGGTTAATCAACTTGGCAAATATTACACAGCTGGTAAGTGACAATTCAGTAACTACTGTTCTAAGTGAGGATATATATTTTTAAACTCATTAATACTTACTTGTCTATGCAAAGAAAATTTCTGATTCCCTAATGATTGTTACTACTCAAAGAAAATTTCTGAATAATTAATGATAGTTAATGGAGTGAAGAGGGTTAGTAGGTTTTTCACCACATACATTTCTGTATTATTAGAATTTTCAGTAAGCATATATTACTTTCATTTTAAATCTAATAAATAAAATAATTTAAGACTGAGTTTAAAAAATCACTTATGTTCTTCTCAAAGTAATTTTAAAATTAACACTTGACAGGGCAGCACCTGTGGCTCAGTAAGTAGGGCACCAGCCCCATATACTGAAGGTGGTAGGTTCAAACCTGGCCCTGGCCAAACCGCAACAAAAAATAGCCAGGCACTGTGGCGGGCACCTATAGTCCCAACTACTCGGGAGGCTGAGGCAAGAGAATCGCCTAAGCCAAGGAGCTGGAGGTTGCTGTGAACTGTGACACCACAGCACTCTACTGAGGACGATAAAGTGAGGCTCTG